TGTCCCGAATCCCGGCCTCCCAGAGTGCGTGGGCGACATGTGGCGCGACTTCGGAATTTCTCTGGCGATGTATAGGTTTCCGACGCCGGTGCACCAGCAGCCATTTTGGCGGTCGCTGCGCATTCTAGTTCGACGGTCCACCAACGCGTTCTGTTTCCAATTCGGCGCAAGAGGATTTGTTGGTGCTCATTTTCGGGGGCGCCAGCCGTTGCCGAGGACGAAGACGCCTCGCGTTGATTGGGGGCTGTGCGTGTCGTGCCACGGTGGGGGTGGCGTCACGTCGCGCGACGCGGCGCCACTTCGCCCCGTCGCATCGCGCCCCGCGCCCCCATGTCGTTTCGCGCCAATCCTCCTGCCCCCCCCTCTTCCTTCCTTTTCCCCTCGTCCAATGCGCTGCGCGTTTTGTCCCGTTTGCGAAATCGGTATTCAGTTCCTTTGTGTCAGGCTGCCGTCCTGTCCGCCTCCCTACTCGCCCCCAGTTGTCCTTCCACCCTCCTGGAACTTCTTCTCGCCCTCCTCGCTCCCGCCGGCCCCCTTCGATCGCCTTCCATCGCTCCCGCCGCCGCTGCGCCGCCCCCGCGCGCCCCCTCCTCGCCCGTCCGTTCCCATTCCCGCCCGCCCTTCCCTCGCCCCCCTTCCATCCTCTGCTTCCCCCCCAATGCGTCGGCGGGCGAGACGTCGCCAAATTGCTGCAGCGACGGACCGATGTTCAAAATCTGACGGGGCGTGCGCTTGAAATAGATTAGCCCGTACGCGCTGCATCTCCATGTCGTCTCTTGGTGTCCTCGCGTTCGTAGTCCTCACGTGCGTGTCTTGCTATTTCTACGATTGCCGCGCGCATCCCTTGATTGTTTCGCCGGCGGGCCGTGCAGTTCGCACGCCGTCAGGAGCCCGCGGCGCCCTTCGAGCGATTCGCACGCGACCTGCGCGCGACGCGCGAACGGCCCGAGCGACGCCCGCGCGACGCACGCGCGACGCGCGCGCGACGCGCGCGCGACGCACCCCGACCCGCGCGCGAAGCACCCCTGCCAGCGCGCGACGCACGATCGACCCGCGCGACGCACGCGCGACGCACGCGCCACGCGCGCGACGCACGCGCGACGCACGCGCGACGCACGCGCGACGCACGCGCGACGCACGCGCGACGCATGCGCGACGCAGTCGCGGCTTTGCCCGCCCCTAGCATTTCTCCGAGCAGCAATGCGCAACGGCCGTCGGCCCGCCGTGCTTGCGTTGTTCACAAGTGGCGGCGGCTGCGTCCTCCATTGCGCCGGGAAAGGCGGCGCTTGCCCCTGTTATTTCCCTTTTCCTTCTTCGTCGTCCCTCCTCTCTTGTCATTCCTCCTCCTTCGTCCTCTCTCCTGCCTCGTCTCCCTCTCTCCTCCCCTTCTCCTCCTCCTTTCTACCGGCCTCCCTCTGTCTGTCCCTCCCCCCTCCTCTCTCGTCTTTCTTTTTTTTTCTTTGCCACCCTGTGTCCCTCTTGATTTGCAAATTCTCCTTCGGCCCCCCTTCCGCGGCCGCGGCGCGTCGCCGCGAGCGGCGCCCCCGCCTTTTGCGAGCGGCCCCGCCGCTGGCGGCGGGGGGGGAATATTACGAAGAGAAAAGGAGGGGGGGGGGCAGGGGCGCGAGGCGGGCGCGGCGGCAAGGGCGGCCCGGCTGGGGAATGGGGGGGGGAGGGGGGGTGGGCGGAGCGGGCGGGTGCTTCTGTAATGGTCATGTTGGTGATCATGGTCGTGGTCGCGTTCGTCGCCTTGGTCGCGCTGGCGGCGGTCGTGCCGCTGGTGGTGGGCGGTCTGGTGGTGGTCACGTCGGTGATCGTGCTGGTGTCGGTCGTTGTGGTGGTCGCGACAAGCGTGGTGGTCGTGGTGGTGGTGATGGCGGTAAATGGTGTTGGTCGTAATCGTCGCGGTCGATGTGGTTGCGGTCGCATCCGTTCGTGGTGATGTGGCGGCGGTAGTTTTGGCGCTGGCGGCGGTTGCGGCGGCTGTGGCGGCGGCTGCGGGGACCTGCTGGCCTATCGCCGGGGTGCGCTCAGCAGCATCGCTGCATTTGTAATGTTAGAGGGATTTGCTGATCTGCCGAGGTGGCCCAGCGGCCGCCTTCTTCTCGCCGAGAGAGCCGCAGCATGGGCGACTTTCTTTCTCCCGAAGGCGGCCGGCCTTTTCAGCGGCCGTGGAGAGGGCGACGTGCGCGCGATCCGCCCTCAGGGTGTCCGCCGCGCTGGCGACGCACTCACCAAATTGCCCCCTTGCGAGGGCGACGTGCACGTTCGAGAGGGCGGCTGGCCTTGTCGGCGGCCGACGCACGGGCGGCGCACGGGCGACGAATGCGCGGCGCACCTCCTGTCGCGAAGGGGGGGGGGTCAGCGCGCCGGTCGCTTTACTGGGCCTTCACAGTGGGGCCCTCGAGGAGGGCGTGCTTCCTGAGGGCTCCTCCGCCTGCCTCGCCGCCCCGCGGGCTCAGCGGCTCCGCTTTTGCGGCTGGTGCTCTGGGCGGCTCGGCCCAGGGGGGGGCCTCGCGTCGGCGGAGGCGGGCGCGCCGCTGGAGGTTTGCGAGCTCTGCTACCCCCTGGCGCTCGCGAGACAGGCGGCCCGCGTGGTGCGGCTGGCGCCGCGGGAGAGAGCGCCCCTGGTCGACCAGGCGCGCTCGCTGGCGGCCCAGTTCGGGGCGCTCTCGACGCTCGAGCCCGATGCCGCCGAAGGCCAAGGCCAAACCCGAGGGCAAGGCGAAGGCTGAGGCCAAGCCTGCAGCGCACGCTCGTGGGCGAGGCATCGGTGCAGTCGGAGCTGTCGGAGCTGGCGGCGGCGGCCGACGCGGCCGTGGAGGCGGTGCTCTGCCTGGTGGGCCTGGTGCGGCCGCGGGCGCCGCAGGGGCCGCAGTCGCCGCGGCGGCGGCTCCCGCGGGCGGCGCGGCTGGGGCGCCTGAAGTGCCTGGTGTCGGCTCCTTGCCCGGGCTTCCTGGAGCCTTTGGCGGTGCTGGTGGCGGCGTGCCGCCCGCCCTGCCTGCGGGCCCTGGCGCGGCGGCTGCTGGAGGTGGCGGCGTTGGCGCGGCGTTGGTCGGCGCTCTGGCTGCAGGCGGCGCTGGCGGTGCAGGTGCTGCTGGGGCGCCCCCCGCCGCGGGCCCCGAAGGCGCGGGCGCCGTCCTCGGGGTGCTCAGAGGCGCGGTGGCGCCGGCGGCAGGCGTGCAGTTCGGCGCCTTGGTGGGCGGCGCTTGGGCGCAGACCTCGACCTCGGCGGGGGCGAGCCGGGCCAGGGGGCTGACGCTCGAGGCCCCTGCCCACGACCCCGCAGGAGTCATCTGCGGCACCGCGCTGTTCGAGGTGGACGGTCGGGTTGCCTGGCGCGGGGGGCAGTATCCTAGCGCCCAGTTCAGGGGGGCGTCGCTGCCCGCGGAGGCGATGCGCTTGGGCGGTGCCCTCCCCGCGCGCGGTGCAGGGCCCTCAGGGCTGCTGCACCTGTGCGCGCAGTGGCCCGCGCGCTGTGGCGAGCCTGCTCAAGCTGGACGCACTGCTGCGCGTGGAGTGGCTGCGGCTTCGCTCGGCGCGCGGGCTGGTGGAGCCTTGGGTTCGCCCCGCCGCCGTGGGCGGCCGGGGCGGTGGCAGCGGCCGCTGCGCGCCAGGTCCCTTGCCTGGAGGTGCGGCTGCGGATCGCCTTGCTGCAGCTGCCGCGGCCCGCGCTGAAGGTGGGGGTGGCGCCGCTCTTCGCGCGCTCGGAGGCCGCGGCAGACGCCGCCAGCGGAGCGAGTCGGCCAGTCGCAGTGATGGCGATGGGGGGCCGCTTTTCGCGACGCCCCCTCCCGGGGCGGCAGCGTGAGCCCGCTGGCGGAGAGGTCACCTGGCGCCCTCTACGACGAAGCGATGCAGATCATCGCACGCGTGATGGGCTTGCGGGAGGGGGCGGAGGGCAGCGAGACGCGTCCGGAGGTGGTTCACTTGCAGGCGATCGTCTTCGGTCACCATCCCGTGTCGCAGTTGCGGGTCAGCGCGGTGCCGGGGCTGCAGACGCTCGCGGCGGCGCTGGATCTGCTGGGGTCCTTGGCGAAGGTGTGCGACGTGCTGGCGCAGCGGTTCAAGGCTCTGGAGCTTTCGCTGTCGGACGCGAACTGGCAGGTTGCGAGCGAGCTGGAGATCGTGCCCGACGCGAGGCCGTCGCTAGCGTCCATGGGCGAGTGGGACTTGGCGCGGCGCTCGGCAGTGCTGCGCAGGCGCTTGCAGGAGGCAAAGAGCCGCGGGCTTCCAGCAGCGCCGCCCGCGACGATGCGAGGGGCTGGCCCGAGGAGAGGGCGCGGGAGGGCTCGAGGCCGCGCTCGCCCTCCCCTCGCGCGCCAGGCCGCGAGGCAGCCCGCGCGCGGTCGAGGGGGAGGGCGTGGCCGCGGGAGGGGCCGCTTCTTCCCTCTGTGCGCGGCCAGCCCCACTCCCGCTCCGGGGGCTCTGACGGAGGGGGCCGGCAGCCCTCGCCCGAGGCGGGCCGTGCTGGCTCGCAGCCTCGAGCGCTGCAGTTTCAGGCCTGAGGGGCCGGCGGCCGCAGCGGGGGCGCCTCGGGAGGCGGGTCGCGGTCGCCCGCGGCGCCGTGGCAGCAGGGGGCGGAACGCGGGCAGGATCAACGGTTCGCGACCCTGCCTACCTGGAGGGGGTGCAGCTCGCGACGCTGCGGCTCTGCGATGAGGCCGAGTGATGATGGTGCCCATGCTGATGATGCTTGTGCGAACGCGGCCAGTTCTTTGCAGGCCGCCTCCTCGAGCAGACCGCCTCGGGCCTCTCCGTCGCGCTCGCCGCCCCCTCGCTGTGCCGCGCCGCTGCGGCCCCCCGCGCTCGTTGCTGCTGGAGATAGCTCAGCCTGGGCTGATCCGCTTGCCGACTGGCGGGAGCTTGCGGGGGCCGCGGGCGATCTGCTCAGAGAACCCTTTGACGTGCGCCCTACCCTGCTTAGCCAGTTCAGAGCCTTCCCAGGTTCACTTGGTCGCTATGTTCGCGACCCCATCGATGTCGAGCTACGCGGGCACATGGCCACCAGTGGAGGTCGGCTGCAGCGTGACCTGCTGCCGTTACCGTGCCCTACCATCGTGGAGTCCGGCGTCGCGCGCGACGGCGAGGACTTCGGCGATGTGAATTGGGGGGCGCTCCACTGCCGGCTGGTTGTTATTGTGCTGGCGCTCAACTGGGAGGCGGGCTTCCTCTCGCCTAAGTTTGCGCGCTGCTGCCGTGGCTGTGCCAACGCGGCCCAGCGGGCTGCCCTGGCTGGCTTGGCGCGGCGGCTCGTCCTGGCCACGAGGATTGAGACCAGCCTGCCCAATGATCTGAACTGGGAGGACCGCCTGCAGGATAGGAAGATCGGTCACGGAGGGTCTGAGATCACGACGCCCCACAAGCCCGCGCTGGAGCAGGTGCTTGACGGGTTGCCGCCGCCGGGAGTCGCCGCTTCGATCGAGGCCGCCGACGTCGCGACGGGCTTCGTCCGCGACTCCCTGCTCGGCCCGTCGCTGGCGCTGATGCCGCCTGGGCTGCGCCGCGCGGCCCCCGCTTCAGCGCGAGTGGGATCGCTCGCCGCGACGGCGCCCCCGTGCTGAACGGCGCCTCTGGTGTCCCAAAGGCCCGCGGCGCTCCTGTCAAGTGCAGTGATGGGGAGCTGCGGCCCGTGCTTAGGCTCATCGCGAATCTGATCCCGTCGAACGCGTGTCAGGAGTGCATCGCGGGGGGCGCGCCCGAGATGCCGTCGATGAGGCAGGCCAGCGATCTAGTGCTCGCGGGGTCCGAGGACCTGCTGTGGAGCGGCGTCGACAGGAATACCTTCTCCTATGTCTTCCGCGCGCCGCCGCCGCGGCGGCCGCTCACGGTGATCGGCCCCCCCGTCCCCTCGCGGCTGCTGGGCCTCAAGGATGGTGGCGCTACTCGCATCTGCCTGTGCGTGATCGGGGTGGGTTGGGTCAGCGCGGCGGGGGTCACGACTCACTTTCACCGCAATATGCTGCGCCAGAGCAGTTCGGTGCCGCGCGGGATTAGCCCTGGCTGCGAGATCGCGCGACGGCGCCGATTGCCGCTGGGCGTTGAGAAGCCGTGCCCACCTGCCTGGATGGCCTACATTGACAATCTGGAGATCGCGGAGCTCGTCGACAAAGCCAAAGCGGAGAAGCTGCTCGGGACGGTGCCGGCGCTGCTGTCTGACGCGCGGGCTTGCTATGAAGCGGCTGGCTCGCCTGGGTCGCTGGTCAAGGACCTTGGCCGCGTGGTGCGGGCCACGACCTTGGGCGAGCTAGTTGATGGAGTTGAAGGGGTGCGCCTTCCTCCTGCAGGATATTTCGCCGAGATGGCCAGCCTGACGTTGTGGGCCCTTTGCAGGAAGCGGGCTAGCATGCGGTTGATTCGCGCCCTCCTTGGCCGATGGGTGCGAGTGCACTGCTTTCGCCGCCCGCTGGCTGCGAGATTCGCCCGCGCCTGGCTTTGGCTCGGCGACCCGCGCTGCGGAGGCCGCTTCGGCGTCAACATCGTCGAGGACTTGCTGATGTGCCTCGCTCTGTCGGGCCTTTGCGTGGCTGACATGCGGCTCGAGGTCGACCACCTGGTGACGGCGTCGGGCGCTTCGGAGGCTGCAGGCGCCGTGGTCTACAGCGCGGCCCTCACTGGCCGCGGCCGCGCGCTGGCTGTGAGGCGCCAGCGGCCTGCCAACGCCGCTGCCGAGGAGGAGGCCGCCTTGATCACCGTCTTCGACGGGGTCGGCGGTGGTCGCAGGGCCTTCGAGATCCTCGGGTTGGTCCCCGCGGTTCATCTGTCGTTCGAGGTGGACCCCTAGGCGGTGCGCGTGGCGCGGCGCTGTTATCCTGGGGCCCAGCACCTTGGGGATGTGACGGAGGCGGGCGCGCCCTCTTTGGCGGGCCTGTTGCGGGCGCGGGGCCGCATCGCGCGCGCGTTGGTCATCGGCGGTTTCCCCTGCCAGGTGTGCGCGAGCCTCAACGTGGACCGCCGGAGCTCGTCGGACCCTCGAGCCTCCCTCGTCGACTGCATGGTCGAGCTCATCGGGGGTTTGCGGACGGCCATGCCTGAGGCGAGAACGTTGCTTCGACGGCTGAGTCCGGTGTTCTTCACCTCAACGGGCTCTTCGAGCGTGTCCCTCTGGAGATCGAGGCCGGTGACGTCGGCGCGGTCAAGCGACCCCGCCTGTCCTGGGCATCCTGGGACTTCCTGCCGTCGTACGAGGCCGGGGCTACCATGGTGATGGCCAAGGACTCGTCAGCGCGCCGCGTGTGCCGCGTTGCGCTGAAAGCTGTGCGGCCGTCGCTGGAGGAGTGGATGCCGGCTGGCACGAGCTGCCCTGGCGGTGTCGAGGGCGAGCCGCTGCCGACCTTCGTCCGCTGGGCGCCGCGCTCGCAGCCGCGCCTTAGGCCCGCCGGCGTCGGCGAGTGCTCAGCTGCGGAGCTGGCGCGCTGGGAGGAGGCGGGCTTCGCGCCCCCGCCTTATCAGTTTCGTGACCAGTGGTGCATTCACTGGCCTGACGGGCGAATCGCGCCTCCTGATGCGGGTGTGCGCGAGAAGCTGGTGGGCTTCGCCGAGGCTCACACGGTCCCCTGCATGACGAGCAGCGAGGCGAAGGCCGACCCTGGGAAGTACGAGGCCCTGCGCCGCTCATTGCTCGGGAACTCCTTCCAGTGCAAGGTCGTGGCCAGGGTGGTGAGCCACTGGGCCGTTGCTGTCGGGCTGCTGGTAGCGGTGCCGTCGCTCGCGGAGCTGCACGAGAGCGTGCGGGCCTGCGCTGGCGGCCGCATGCTGTGGGCAGGCGACGGCACTTCCTTGCGCTGCGGGCGCGTGAAGGTCGACGAGGAGGTCTGCCGTGAGCTGCAGGTGGCTGGGGCCTCGCAGGAGCCCGCGAGCCCCCCGGGCGTCGTCTACGTCGGCCGCGGGTCGCGGCGCCGGTGCCTGGGCCCCTCGTGCCGGGGCAACCCCTTCGCCGTGGACACGAGTTGTCCTCGCGAGGACGCTGTGGCTCTGTTTGCTGGCTGGCTGCGCAGGCAGCCACTGCTGCTGGGGCGCCTGGAGGAGCTGCGCGGCGCCCAGCTGGCCTGCCGCTGCAGCCAGGCCGAGGCGTGCCATGCCGACATTCTTCTGGCAGAGCTGGCCAAGCGTGGCGTGACGTCCTGGCGTGATGCAGACGTCTCGCGCAGGCTGGTGATGAACTTTGTGATGGCGTGCCACAGTAATTGTGCGGGCCTTCGTACGGATGGAAGCTCTGAGGAGCTAGGAAAAGTTTTTCCCTCGGCAGGAGATTGATGCAGGCATCTGGCAATGGCGTAAGGCAAGGCAGTTGATTTGGGGCGTCCCCGAGCATATCAGTGTACTGGAATGTCAAGGTGCTTTGATGATTCGATGGCGAGCTCGGTCTTTGGCTCGGCAGCAGCGTGTCTTCTTACAGCTACTCGACAGCATGGTCAACATCGGTGCGCATTGCAAGCGCCGCTCCAGTAGCAGCCAGCTCAACAAGGTGGTGCGCAGCTTCTCTGCCCGGGAGCTGGCGATGGGCGCGCGGGCGGTTTCTGGCTTACCTTCTTCAGTTCGGAGCCCCGCGGTTGCCCCGTCGCGCCTGAAGGATGGGGAAGCGGGGTAGCCCATCCGATCGTAGCGCCGCCAGAGCTGGACTGGGGAAGTTGAGAGATGCTCGTGTTGGGACTGCCACTCTTGCGAGATATCGTCGTGCCGCTCAGCAGTTTGTTGACTATCTCAATGCCACGAGCCTGCCGCTGCCTTTCAGTTGGGAAGATGTGGATATCACCCTTCAAGATTATCTTGAGCACCTCTGGGCAGAGGGTTCTACAAAAGGTCAAGCTAAGGATGCACTGAGTGGGGTGCAGCACTTGTTGAGGGCGAGCTGGCAGTGTCCTGGTGCGTGGCGATTGCTGTCAGTCTGGGGCCGCTTGGAGCGACCTCAGCGTGCGCCGCCGATGCCGCCGCTGGTCTGCAGCGCGCTTGCTGGCTGGGCGCTGGGGCGCGGCGAGATCGCGTTCGCTGCGACTGTGCTGGCAGGCTTCCACTTCTGCCTTCGGACAGGCGAGGCCCTCGGCCTCTCCGGCGGCGCCATGCAGCTGAAGACTTGCGGCCGCGGCGTGATTGCGTTGCCCTGGACAATGACAGCTTGTCAGAAGGGGGCGCGGGAGACGGTGGCGCTCGACGACCCGCTCGTCGGAGCTGCTGTGCACTTGCAGCTGCAATGGCGCAGCCGTTTGTGGCCTTCGTCTCCGCGCGTTTTCCATGCCTTGTTTCGCGCTGGCGTGCAGCAGATCAGTTGTAAACATGTGGCCCTCGTCCCTTGCAGTCTTCGTAGAGGAGGTGCCGCTCACAAATATTTGCTTTCAGGAGACTTGTCTAAAGTCATGCTTCGCGGGCGCTGGGGCCCCATGAGGACGGCAAAGACTTGCATCCAAGAGGGGGCCGCACTTCTTCCTGATATGCGGTTCCGGCAGGGTGCCCGTTCCTCTCTCCAGACGTTCTCAGACATTTTAGTTGCCCGCGTCAGGGCGTGCTGCAATACTTGAGGCCAGTTGCGAGTTTCTTGGGATTTTCCAAAGGGCGGCTTTCAGCCATATCTAGAACACAGTGGCGAGCTTTTCCGGGAGCTTTCTCGAGGCTCGCGTGTTCAATCAATGTTTGGAGAGCTTCTCGGTCTTGCACTTTCGGGTGCGAGTCTCCTCCCCTCTACCCCGCAGTGTTCTGACCCCGGTCGCGAGACGGTGGTGCACTTGTGGTTGCTGGGAATCCTGCTGTGGCTTCGGGGTGAGTCTCGAGGCTCGCACAGGGGTGTGCCGATCTTGGGAGGAGTAGAAGCTCAGTCAACAGCTTTGGCCCTATAAATGAGGGAGTAAAAAGGAGACCCCTGCATAATTTCCCGGCATATTCCTCGACCTTCTCCTATGCCAATCCCGCTCGATCCCGCCCGCACACATATAAATACGTTTACGGTTGATGTGCGGGCTAAGGGCTCAAAACGTGTAGCATCGGCCGTTCGTAGAATGCATGGCAGCTGTTCTGGCCCGCCCACGAGCCGCCCGAACAGGTAGCTCCCTTTTGCCAGCCAGCTAGTGTCTTTCAGCCTCGCGAGCGCGAGCTTCTCGGTCTGGCACCCTCGGGTGCGAGTCTCTCTCCCCTCTAGCCCGCAGCGTTTTGACCCCGGTCGCGAGACGGCGGTGCACTTATGGTTGCTGAGAATCCTGCTGTGGATTCGGGGTGAGTCTCGAGGTTCGCACAGGCGTGTGCCGATCTTGGGAGGAGTAGAAGCTCTGCCAACAGCTTTGGCCGATAACTGAGGGAGTCAAAGAGGGACCCCAGCAGAATTCCCTGGCATACTCCTCGACCTCCTCCTGTGTCAATCCCGCTCGATCCCGCCCGCACACAGAGATAACATAGTGCCGATGGCCGCGAGCGGGTCCAAGCTAGTTAACGACAGGTGGTCGTTGCTGACCAGGTAGCAGGAGAGCTCAGTGGTCGAGTGACCGCCAGGCGGGCGCGCCACACTTGCCGCATCCTTTGGGGAGCCAAAGTGAAACCTCCAGGGGGCTCGAGAAGACCCAGATCATATCTGGCCAGGATGCACATTCCACTGGACACACCCAATACTTTACCAGGGGCAGCGGGCGCCCATCAGCTCGTCCACCCCGTCGGCGAGCAACATTGTGAGGCCAGCCACAAGCTGATGTTCCCGGATCCACAGCACGTGGGCTTGGGAGCTCCCAATCCAGCTCTCCATGGACTTCCACGAGTTCCCATTCAACGCTTGGGTATGCAAGGAAAGCTGCTCCTGGGGGGGGGACCTGCAACGCTGATCGGCTTGTGTGGGTTCCAAAAAGGGAGGCCCCGTCGCGCCCTGGAGGCGGCCCTCGTACCCAGGCCTGCCTGCGGGGAGGGAGCGGGGATCGCGTTGCTGGGCCTCCCTTCCTCCCCGCCTCCCCGGCCCGCCTCGCTGGCGGGGGTGGGGGAAGTTAATCAAGTGCCAACAAAATCCTTGGCCCGTGGACGGGCGTCGGCACAGGAGGAAGAGGTGAGGAGAAGGAGGAGGAGGAGGAGGAGGAGGAGGAGGAGGAGGAGGAGGAGGAGGAGGAAGGGGGGAGGAGGAGGAGGAGAAGGAGGAGGAGGGGGAGGAGTAGGAGTAGGAGTAGGAGTAGGAGTAGGAGCAGGAGCAGGAGCAGGAGTATGAGTAGGAGTAGGAGTAGGAGTGGGAGTAGGAGGAGGAGGAGGAGGATGAGGATGATGATGATGATGATGATGATGATGATGATGATGATGATGATGATGATGATGATGATGATGATGATGATGATGATGATGATG